CGACAGAACATCTGGTTTGTAAAGCCTACTATATATCCTAAGGGGACCCTCACAGGAAAAGTTGGCCACCTCCTGACTTAAAATGATAAGAAATATTTTAAGCTTGGCTGACTTATATGGATTTACATCAGTGTCCTTGTAAGTCTGAGTGCTAGACAGTCACAACTCATATATATTTTAAGTGAGATTTCCTGGGAACGTGTCAGCTCTCCAGTTTGGTGCAGTGAACAGAGAGCCCTCAGCTGGCTATTCCTTAAACCTTTTATCCTTGGTCAAAGTTCATGTGCCTAGTCGGACATATGATTTATCCCATTAACTATTTTTAATTAAAATAATCCACATAAAATGAACAAGTGATTTTTGTTTTAAAAAAATCTCCTGCAAAATAATCTGGATTGACTACACCACTCCTAATATAGGAATAAATAACAAGAAATGGCAGTGATGATGTCATACCTATATCTAGTAAAAGTTTGTTAACAGCCATCGTGTTAATTCATTATTCATATTAATATACCTAGCCCTATATTTATAGTTTTGCCTTGAGTTTTAACTAATATTTGTATTATGGCATCATAAGATATTTACAAAGTAGGCATCCAGGACGTGGTGATGCTGGGCAACTTCTGTAAGGTTTAAAGACATGAGGTACTCACTATTATAATGTTTAACAGTTTGCTGAAGTCAATGATCAATGTCTTTTTTGAGGAATATTCATAAAGGAAAAATTAAAAACCCAATTTAATTAGAAACATATATGTTCTTCCTGCGGCAGAAAGCATTGTAAAGTAATACATAGAAAATAATAGAATGGGGGCGCCTGGGTGGCTCAGTCATTAAGCGTCTGCTGTCAGCTCAGGTCGTGATCCCAGGGTCCTGGGATGGAGCCCCGCATCGGGCTCCCTGCTCAGCGGGAAGCCTGCTTCTCCCTCTCACACTCCCCCTGCTCGTGTTCCCTCTCTCACTGTGTCTCTCTCTGCCAAATAAACAGATAAAATCTTTAAAAAATAAAAAAAAATAATAGAATGATGACTGAATTTCATTCCTTTGTATCAAGTACCATTACAAAGTGCATTAAAAACATCTCTGAATATTTAAAACGGAAGTGGTGAGCAAATTTTTTTTTAAAGTTTTTTTTTTTATTTACTTGACAGAGAGAGACACAGCAAGAAAGGGAACACAAGCAGGGGGAGTGGGAGAGGGAGGAGCAGGCTCCCCGTGGAGCAGGGAGCCTGATGCGGGGCTCGATCCCAGGACCTTAGGATCATGACCTGAGCCGAAGGCGGATGCTTAACGACTGAGCCACCCAGGCACCCCGGAAGTAGTGAGCAAATTATACTATACTGCAGTTTTATTATGCAGTTAGATCAAAATACAGATTTAAAGTAGTCTCAGTGTATGGAATTTGTGTTCTACACATGAAATATACAAGTGAAATTTTGGGGACTTAAAAGCGAAATAAGTCAGAGAAAATGTATTCTTTAAGTCACTTCTTTATAATAAAATTACAGTTCTATGAGAAAATTGTAAAGGTATAATCAGCAGTAGGATATATAAAATAATTGTGGGTGTGAGGTTGAAGTTACATTAGTATCCATAGATAAACTCTGATGACAAGATGTAGATGCGCGTGCACACACACTGTCTATAGAGAGGGCCTGTTATACAGATTACATTTATATATCGTCAAGATACCTATATATAGTAATAGAAACATAAAGAAAGATGTGTGTGTGTGTGTATCTTTATAATGAGAAAGAGAAGAACCAAGAATATCTTTTGAATCATTTGGAGGTTCTCAGGTTATCTTCTGACAAAGTATTTTAAAAAGTGACAAACTTCCAGATGCATTATGACTATTTGGCTTTCCTTGCCACCTGTATATTGAGAATTGTGCCTTTCAACAGATTTTTTATTAGAGAGGAAATTCAAAATAAAATTTCTACCTGGAAGAAAAAAAAAGTAATGGAACTATTGTCTATTAGAACTTAGGAAATACAGTCAAAATAGTCCCTGGAAGGAAACTCATGACTCTAAATATGGTTAATGGATAAATATGAGAATAGAAACAAATGAATTAAATATTTGACTTGGAAAATTTAAGAACAACAAAATATCCTGTGCATAAGGAAAGCAAGGGAAATGAATTTGTAAGAATTGACAAAAGAAAACTGGAAAAATTAAATGTAAGGGCAAAACAAAATTGTCAACATGCAAAGGTCAAAAATTTTCTCCTAATACTCCATTTCCCCCCACCCCCCAGGAAACTCCTTTAGGGACCGGTAAATATGAGAGGGAACCAAGTAAGACATGGCATAGTGGAAATAGGAGATCAAACATAAAAGACAGGCAAAGAAAATTTCCAAGGTGATGGTAAAGAGAATCCTAGCCTAACAACTTAGACGAAGCATAGAAGACAACTAGCACAGATCAGAACAGGTGCTTCAGGTGACATATATGTTAAGGCTGTCACCACCAAGAATTCTTTCACCTTTGTACCATGTTATCAACCAAAGTGATCCTGGCCAGAATTCTTAGCTCTCTATGGCCTGTCCAAGTGCTGATACAATTCTGCTCTCCCCTCCTTGCCTAGCTGCCTGGAATAGCCATCTGATCCTAGAGTAGCGTCCAGGCTTAATCAGCTCCTGAGATACGGAGTTTGGCTACAGAGAGTGTAGAAATATGAAACATTTTCTGTCTGACTGGTTAGGCCTTAGCCCTGCCGGATTCCCCCATCCGGGGAACCCTCTGTTGCCCCTGGATCACTACATTCTTGGCTTCTGACATACTCACAATGGGTTCTTGAACCCTCCCAGAAAAGCTGAAGCCAGAACATTAACCAGGGACTGTTCTGCTCACCTTTTCCTCTCATCTTTTCCTAAGCACTGTCAACTGTCAATTACAATGCTGCCTTTTTCTCACACGGCTAGTCTTTGTGTTTGCTACTCAGTTTTCAGATTAACCACTTTCCACACTGATTAAGAAATGTAATGAGTTGTTGATAAAATAATGAAATCACTGAGAAATAAAACAAAATTAGAATATATTTCAATCTAAAAGCTATCTTTAACGGGCAAATACTAAAAGTGTTCCCTTCAAGGTGCACACTAATGTGACCATTATTTAATGTTAGTGGTAGGGACCAATGGAATTAGACAAAAGAAAGGAATTAAAAGTATGAAAACTGGCAAAGAGGAGGTAAATTTATCATACCACTAAGTATTTGATATTTTCGGTGATATACCTGGAGCTTCCAGGAGAGTTAACTGGATGACTGTTACATCTGTGTGATAACTCAGTAATGTGTCTTGGTAGGAAATCCAAAGCTTTCCTGTACTGACATAGAAATATGCCAAAGCTGTTGTTAAGTGGGGGGTGGAGGGGAACACAAACAAATAAGATGCCGAATGTTGCAAATAGGATGTTATCTTTTTTTTATAATAATGTGTGCTTGTCGTGTGTATGTGTAAAATTATTTGTATTTGTTTGATATGTAAAATAAACACAGCACAAACAAGAAACTAATTAGTTACCATTTCAAAGTACAGAGGCTTATAATCTCTCATTTCTACAAACTTAAAAGATCTAGAATTATAATTTTCTAACCTGCTCAAATTTTCTGAGTTTTTTTAAAGTAAGTTTTGAATCTAATGCTTAAAAAAAAAAAAAGAAAAGAAAAACATCTACTGATATAGCGAACACATTCAACGTACACTTTAGAAAGCCTATCAGTGGTTGTAAAATACGTGATATTGGCAAAATGAATTAAATTTACATTAAAAATATTAAGTGTCAGTTTTAAAGTTGAATTTACTTGCTTGCTAAATATAATTTTGAGCAATGTGTATTATTTTGTGCTAAATTTCCATTTCACACAAAACCAAATATATTAATTCATTGCTTACAGAGCCGAAAAATGATAGAATACAGTATTGAACTCACAAAAAATATTATATTCCTCTGAAATTTCAGTCATTAATGCATTAAGCATCTACCATATTATGCATCGTACTTGACTCTGAGGCCACAGAGCTGAATAAAGCAGGTTTCATTTTAGAAGATTCATGTCCTGAAGGGTTTTACTGTAGGATAATCACTATCGATTTATTTCCTTGTGTTAAAAATTAGAGAAATATAAGAGGTGATATATCTGCAAAAAAAGTGGCCCCGTCTTTCAGAGATATATACATATACAGCACCTTTTTGCAACTTTTTTTTGTAGGCTCCAGACTTCCCATTGTTGTGGCTTTCTTACCCCCGTTCCTGGCCTCATCCTGGGGGTCCTACTTCCTCAAAGTCTTTGGCATTCATCCACTTTCCAGGTTAAAGACCCACCCTAGGGAAGGCCTCATTCCCTCTCCTCTCTACACTGCAACTCATCTGTGAGCTCTCTCCAGTTTCTCTCCAGAGCTGCACACTGCCTGGAAGCGAAGACCGCGTGCATTCTCTCCAGACTCACCTCTCCCTGATCCCTTGCGCATACTCAGCCCAACTTGACAACTTACGGTGCCAAGAATTAAGCCAACGCTTTGGCCCCATTGCTTGCACATTGACATCCTCTACAACAGCCTCCCCTGTACCCCCCATTTCTTCCACACTGAATCACACGCACTCTAAAATTAATTTTCACTGTCACTGTCCTCTTCAACGAAGACCTTTCTAATCTCATCCTATCACCTTTGGGATGAGCGCTCGCCTTCCTCAAACATTTCTCCTCTCGATACTTTCAAAAATAACAACCTTGACACCCTTCAGGAGACCCTGCAGGTGCTTGTTTCATTCTGCAGAAGAGGCTGGAGGAGGGAGACTGACAGGAATTATTGAAAGAGACAAACAGTACACCATGAAAGCAGGTGTCTTGCGAGGGGCCCAAGTACGAGCAGAGGTTTCCTTCTTACTAGTAAGAGATTCTGACGTAATGTCTATCATATTTAGACTTAGTTCCAAGTGAGCTTGACTTTCATCCACTAACATGCTCTTTATGCCTTTCTTCTCCCCAGGATGTGACAGTTCCTCCCAAGCCTGTTTCTCTCCATCCTTTATATCAGCCTAGACTCTCTCCTCCTGCTCAGTCCCTGCCGCCTCCACAGACCCTCTCACATGCTGACTGTCTTACCCCAGGACCCTTCAGTCATTTGTCCTCCTTCTCACTGAGTGATGAACAGGGGAATTCTCATACCCTTTTTAGCAGCAACACATATAATAAGGTGAGAATTCCCTGCTGAGGTGGGAATTATTCTTTGCTGGGAAACTTCTTTATGCTTAAAACTTGAGCATAGAGGAAACATATATATTAAGAATATTAAATATTTGTGTTAAAGCCCATGACCTTACAAAAAGATAGTAATTAACCTTGAGAAGTTATTCAATATTCATTTTTGCTTTCAAAGTCATTTCCTGATTTGCATTCCTCATTGTTTAATGTTCTAACCCCAAGGTGGAAATCCCAAGAAATTTTCTGAAACCTTACAAGATAGCATTATTAATTTATCTTGGAGTCTCAGTTCAACGTTCTTTAAAATCTTCTCTAAATTATAGCGCCTTAATGAGGAGGCACTTACTGTTGCAGTCAATGAGCAAAGAAATCCTTAGAATTTCTACAGATATCTGTAAAATAATATTAACATCTCATTTTATTTTATTTTATTTTTTATTTTAGTATTGGCACAATGTTACATTAGCTTCAGGTGCACAACATAGTGATCCAACAAGTTTATACCTTATGCTATTAACATTTTATTTTAAAATGTGTCTATTTGTCTCATAATAGTGATGCGATATGTAAAATGAGGTGTTAATTACCCTAAAGAAAACATATATAATATATATTTTATATATATCTTATATATTAAATATTTTAATATATTAATATTTTATTATATTTTTATATTTATGATATAATTTATATGTAATTAAATATTTTAATATTTATATAAATTACATATATTTATATATTAAATATATATTTTTAAATGAAAAAAGTGAAGTTGGCTTTGGAATGCAATCATAAATGTTTTTTAGAAGCAAGCAGTTAATAATACCACATAAGGCTTACAAGTGCCCTTTGTTCTTCTGAGCATTATCATAAGGTCATCCTGGCTATTACAGACTCTAGATTCTGAAAATTTCACAAAGGAATTGATTAGTTAAACTCAACCTGCAATTAATTTTTTTTAACTCACAATCTAGTTTAAAAACATTTATTTGGCCAATTCTCTATATCTAATGGAATACACCTCTGTACTTGGAAACCGGTAAAGGCCAGAATCAAAATGTTCCAGAATGTGGTGGTACAATATCCCTCGGGCCCTGAAATGTTTTTTTGAGGAAATGCTCATAAACTCAGTCTAAAGACAGTTGTCTAAAAAATGAACATTATTATATGAAGAATATTTTATTTTTCATATTTAATAGCATCTATCATGACCAATCAACCTGAATTAAACCTTTAAAATATCCATTTTCTGTAAACAGAATGTTTTTGGGCAAAGTTCAGGATGACAGTCTTATGACTTTTGTTTCTTACTCTTGGTTTAGAAAAAGGAAGCATTTCAGGGAAAGTATAACATTTTAAATGATTTTATGTTATTTGAAATTCTTCCTGATTTAATCCTTGCCAACATATATGAAATCCATTTAGCTATTAAATAAAGTTAGTGATTCTGAGAATAACATAACTGTATTCTTATAAATTGTCATCTATGAGAGGATTATAATTGTGTTTTATAAATATCAATTACATTAAGTAGCTTATGTTTTGATATTTTGGTGGTACTTTCTAGAACCATTCAGCATTCACAGAGGTTCAAGGATAGAGTCAGTATTTCATCCATATTTTAATCTGTACTTGGTCAGGTCGTGAGGAACAATATATAAAAGTGATTTGAGGTTGGACAACTATTTTCAGTTTACACAATCTTCATAATATATTTTGTCTTTCAGAGTCAGATTTATTGATACTGAATAAAGAAACATTCATATCAGAAATAATAATAATAGTAATGTAAGACAATATTTCTTAATGGAAGACTTAGAACACTCAATAGTCTTGTACTTAAATGCTCCCATTAAAATATACAGATTACCCAATTTGATATCTATGTCTACAAACCTTGTGTTATAAATATAAGGCCAGTAGCATATCGGGTTTCAAGACTTGTCTTTTTTTATTTGAAATAGCTTCTTGTCTGAAATTGTAAAACATAATCTGCCATCGGAATTAACCTCTCTCCAATACCCTAATGTCATTGCCAGACATGGTTTATAGCTTTACCTATTAGGCTCATCTCCAAATTCAAATCTTCCTATAATTCCCCCTAGAGAGCCATACTGAACTTAACTATCTCTGATGGTCCCTCATTAACTGGGGCTATAGAAGGTGTTTAACATGTTTTATTATTCTTCTGTTGAATCTGTAGTGTGTGTTCTTCTCTTCTTAATCTTCATCAGACTCTGTGTGTCTTATATCTTTACCTTAATCCCTACCCTCTTCTCTTACTTGCAAGATAGAGCTCTATCATATGATGTCATATCATACGTGATGATGCTCAGGTATTTTCCTTCCCATCTTGTCATAAATCAGGAGATCCTTTTTTTTCTCCAGGGCTCATGAAGGGAGTTATTACTGTTACTTCTTTCTTTAATCCTTCAAAGTAATATAGCCCTATGGTTAAAAGCATGATGTCTCTAGACAGTCAGTCTAAGTTTATTTCTTGACCCCACTCCTTCCAGATGGTGATGTTGGGTAAGTCATTTAGGCTCTGCGTACCTCCATTTATTCACCTGTAAAAGGAGGATGACAATAGTACCCACCCTACTAGATAGAGTATTATGAGATTAGGATGTAGTAATATGTAAAAAGCAGGTAGGATAGTGCCTGGAACATTACAGGAACCATATAAGAGTTAGATCTTATTATTAATAAGTCTTTCTGGAGTGCCATTCCCAGCATTCTTTTGAATCATTTGTCCTTTCTGTGTTGGACCCCTCCTCTTTGCAGAAACCTCAAAAAGAAAAAAAAAATGACGGAATGAACTCGGCTCCATCCTTTTCCTTGATAGTGCTGCAAGACTAGTAATTTCAAGACTTTTCTCTCTCAAAGTGATCAATAGCCATTATCTCCATTCTCCCTCTATAAACTCATGCTTTTAACCCATTCTTGAGAGCATTCTGTCTTTTTGCCTCAACCACTCTATTGAGATTGCTCTCTCGAGGTAAACTGCTTGTCAGCAAACTCAGCTGAATTTCCTCAGTCCTCTCTTTTATCCCTTGCGACAACTGACGCTGTTGATCACGCACTCTTGGATCTCCCTCCTCACCCTGCTCTTGGGACCGTCCGTACATTCCGACTCCCTGACTGCTCCTTCTTTGTTTTCTTTCTGGACACTTATTCCTCTTCTCTCTAATGGCCTCCCGTCAGATACTCACCCACTCACAGACTTTTGTGATTACCTTAGTACTGATAATTCTCAAATCCACATTTCCAATTCTGTTTCTCCTCTGAGATCTAGTTTTATATCTTTAGCTCCTCACTTGTCAGTTCCCCCAGGATGTCATATTGTCACCTCAAACTCATCATTCATTTTGCCTCAAACTAGTTCTGTTCTGGCTTTCCTACTTCTGTCGTTAATACCACAGTTCTCAGTCCTCAAACTCAAACTTGATTCACCAGTTATGCTTTTTCTTTTTTGGCCTCATAGCTAGTGATTCCTCAAATTGAATGGATTCTTCCTTTGTTATGCCTGTCATGTTGTTATCTCTCACTATTCTTTATTATTATTCTACTTTACTTAAACCAAATGACTTATTTTCCTCCAGGCATACCTGGGGAATTTCTTACTGTTTAACTTGCTCATGCATTCTCCTCATATAAAAATACCCTCCTTCTTTTCACCTTCCTTATGCAAAGCAAACCATTCTCATCCTTTATGACCCAGTCAAATTAACCCTGCTCCACTGTGAAGTTGTCCCACTCATCAACGTTCAAAGTGATGTTTTTCTCCTGTGCCGAGGTATCTCATGCATATTACAGGTCATCTTGTATGTGTTTGTCGTGATTATCCTAGGGTCCATCTAGGGTGTGATGTGCTTAATATGATATTTTTCACATTGTAAGCATAGCAATAAATATGTGTTCACGATGACCAAATCCTAAAATGACCCAGGTTATTCACTAGGAGCCCCAAATGCTTGAATATTTAAGATTATTTCCATTTTAAGTAGAAATGAAATAGAGTCAATTTATGGATTCATCAGCACATTGAATACAATTTCAGTCAGTTGAGAATCTCCCTTTTGTCTGGGGTTGCATGCAGTTTCCAGTGAGCTCGTGGAATGCTTCAGCAGAGCAGCATAGGTGGGGTGGGGAGGGGCAGGCAGTAGGCATCTGATCTTTCTTTGCCGTATGTGGGCGCTGGTATCCACCAGGGTATCCTCAGTCCTATCTGGTATATGACCATCAGTCATATAATACACTGCTGCATCCTTCTTTCTTCCTCTGCATAGCATGCCCTGACTGACTCTAGGTTAGCTACTTCTGAGCCCCTCAAGCCTATATGGGAAAACACAGTTACCTCCATGCTGGGAGCAGATCAATTTTTGTGAGACCCTCTTGGAACCATCAACTTAGATCCTCTACATATCCTTCACCGTGCTTCTTTTCCTGCCCCCCTATTTGTAGAAAACTCTAGGAGTCCATCCTTATGAATTTGCCTGCCCACTAAAATGTATTTGTAACCCTGAAATCAATACTCACTGCCCTTTTGTGGTCATTTGCGGACGTGTGAGAAACAGAAAAATGTGATTGGCCTGTGCACATGTTCCCAGCTGAGGTGAACAAGGTGATGTTCTGCCTTCTTGTTTGAACTCTCATGCTGTAAGCAATCATTCTTGTCATGGTCCATCGAGTACCACATGTTTTGCGTATTTGCGTTTTATCTTGGGGGTTTCACTATTCAAAATGGCCTCTCAGGCATAGTGCTGAAGTTCTGTCTGGTGCTCTAAACACAAGAGGGCTACAATGTGCCTCACAGAGAAAATATACATGTCAGGTAAGCTTCCTTTTGGCGTGAGTTACAGGGCTGTTGGCCGGTAGCTTCAAAGTTAATGAACCAATGATATATATTAAATAAGGTGTCTTTAAACAGAAAGACACATCTAACAAGACTGTGATTAATTGATGAAAAAGTAATGGGACTCGCAGGAACTTAATCTTATATTTCATCTTGGAGCAATGATTCGGGACTTGCTAACTCCATGTTTGCAGTGACTTTATAGAACATAACTACTGTAAATAAAGATAATCAATTGTACCTTTGTTTTGGTTTCACTGAGAAGAAGATTCATATACAAGTAGTTAATTTGGGAGGTGGTTCCAGGAAACACCAGTGAAGGAAGTAGGGAACTGGAGAAGATGTCTAATAAAGGGCAAGTCACCAGGTGGGAAATTAGAGCTTGAGTTTACTGGGGAATTCTAGGAGCCAATGCGGGCAAGTCAGAGTTAGGCAATTTGAGGTGGGCGGCTGGGAATCCTGCTAGTCTTTATTTGAGGGCTGTGCGTGGGGGAGAGGAACATTCATCCCCAGAAAGAGCCC